TTTTTGCATATTTCTCTTCTATATCATCTAATTGATCGTTAAAGTTATCTTGAGAGGGCGCATTTTTATTATTAGTCAAATTAGACATAGCTTTACCCAAATAGTTCCATTCTATATCTGATGCAACAATGTGAGAGATTTTTTTTGAACCTATTTTTAATCTCCCTACAACTAAAAGAATAATTTTGGATAAATTATCTTTCAAAGCATTATACATCTCGTGTTCATTACTATAAGATACAATCACATTTGTATCTAAATTTTTGTAACCATTAACACCATTGTAAGACTTTCTAAACAATTCAAAACTTTTCTACTACTATCGTTATTGATATAAGAATTGGGTATCATAGGAAAAGAATACAATAACAAAGGAGCTGAATAGGAAAGATCATTATGGGTTAGCTCATCATTCTTGACAGACATAGGTATGCTTTGAATCAACGTGAGCTTAAGATAAACAACAGAAAGTAAATGAAACATATTGCAGCAAGAGATACAAAAAAAAAAGTAAATTGCATTTACATATTCTACATTTTCTTTGTATACATATCGACCTACCATCAAAGCAATCTAGTTTTTTTTGAATTCAGTAATCAAAGAGTTCACATTATTCATATAACCTTTATAAGTAATTTGCCTGAAATTATCAGACGTAGTATTGATCCTATATAACACAGTACCAATCAGGTAGTTCGTGTTTCTGCTGACTGTTTGAACAAAACAATAAGAAATAAAAATGGACGACATTTTTTTTTTTTATCAATTATGATTATAAAGGTAAACGAATGTCTTGTATTTTATTTTATTTTATTTTTATTAATTTCACAAAAACAATTTGGTTAACAACTGAGTAAGGTGTTTATTTTTAATTATTATCCCAAAACGAAAAGGAGAATGATGATAATAAGAGAGAAGGAAATATACAGAAAAAAAAGAAATATCTAAGCAGTATTTATTAAAAAAACAAAAAGCATCGCAAAAGACCAATCGAAACAATTCGCTAAGCATTCATAAGAATCTGGTCAGATATTCATAACTTTTTTGTATACATATTTTTTTTTCTCTTGATTAATTATCTAAAAAAACCATAAAAAATCACTGCCATTAAAAATCATACGCAATACTCAAACAAATAAGGAAGGATTCATTGTACACGACGATAGCGATAGCAGAAATATCAACATATCCATCAAAAAAGTACACATATATGCGAACATCAAAACTAACTACCAATGCAAAAATAAAGCAAACGACGCAAAAATACCATACTAGCTGAGGCTTCAAGCAATCGCCTTTGATATACAGATATTCATCGATAGACATGAAATTCAAAATAAATAAACCAACACACGTGCGAATACTCATAAGCATATATCCGGTGATAAAAACCCGAAATACAATCGACAAGACGATCAAGAACAAAAAACACAACGA